GGGCCGGGGGTGGCCACACCCGCCCTCCACCTTCCCAGCCCAGGGCGCCTCCCTCTTCGGGCCCAAGGTGGCCCTACCTGAGCACCGTGGGGAACAGCTCGCCCGTGTAGATGGTGATGCAGGTGAAGGTGGCTCCCACACCCCCCAGCCCCAGTATGGCCAGGGCTGAGCGCATGGCCCTCATTTCTGTGGATAGGGACGGGTTAGTGGGGGGTCACAGTTAGATGGGGCCTCCCTGAGCCCAGGCCTCTGTCCAGGTGAGCCATCCCCACCCGGTGTCCCTCCTCAGTGACCTCATGGCCTCCTGCATTCTGTGCCTCCGCCCCCAGACACCCAGAGCTGGACCCCAGGGTCTTCCCGGCCCCGCCCCCTGCAGCCCACCACAGGGTTTTCGTGGTGCCTCCCGGCCCCTCCCGGGGCTGCCCCCTCCGTTCCACACCGCTGCCTCCCCGGGCGCCCTGGCAGCCACCTTCCTCGCCCCTCAGCCTCCTCCTTCCTTCCTGGATCTTTCTCATCCGGCCTCTCAGAGGCAGCACCCAGGGCTTCTGGCCGGCTCCAGCCCCGGGCGGCGGAGGGGGCCTCTGGCTCGCGGTCCAGCCCCTCACCTTGGGGCACCAGCGTGTTGGCCAGGATGCAGAGCCCCGCCAGCACCAGGGACGAGGCCTGCAGGGCCCGGCGGCCCAGGCACCTCTGAAGCAGCAGGGTGCCGATCTTGGCCGGGACGTCCACGACCCCGATGAACAGCTGGAGCAGGAAGAGGTTGCTGCCCAGGGCCTGCAGGTCCAGGGCCAGGCCGTAGAAGGTGAAGCCAAAGGCGAACCTGGGGTGGGGGGGCAGGGCGGGGTCGGCGTGGGCTCGCTCACGTGAGGCTGTCTGCCTGCTCGGGCGTGTTCAGGTCAGTTTCCCGTCCTTTTCTTTGAGCCGGGGTCTTCCTCTGTCACCCGGGCTGGAGAGCCGTGGCGTGACCACGGCTCACCGCAGCCTCAACCTCCTGGGCTCAGGCGATCCTCGCGCCTCAGCCTCCCGGGGAGCTGGGACTACAGGTGCGTGTTGCCACACCCGGCTAGTTTTTGGATTTTTATGCAGAGATGAGGTCTCGCTGCGCTGCCTGGGCTGATCTCAAACTCCTGGCTTCCCGTGATCCTCCCACTTGAGCCTCCCAAAGAGCTGGGATTCCAGGCGTGAGCAACCATGCCTGACCGGTTTCCTGTCCCTCCTGCTGCTGGCTGTGTGTGACCTCTGTAAATGGCTGGGCTCCCTTAACACCGTAGCTTCGCACTGGGTCTGGCTGGAGGGAGGGAATGGGGGAGAAGCCGGGCATTCCTCCCTTCCTCTCTGCTCAAGTGTCCTGTCCGGGAGTGGCATTGTGCCCTCCGTGGTGCCAGCGGCCCTCCCTCCGCGGCCTCGGCCGTTTGGGTCTCTGCCGGGCAGTCCTAGGACCTGGGCTCTGATAACTCCACCCCATTCTCCCCGGTCCCTCCAAACCGGCATGGATGTGCCTTCCACTGGTGCTGCTCTCAGGGTGCCCCTTGTCCCGAGCGCCAGTCCAGCCCGCCCAGGGGGTCCCCTTGTTGAATCTCTCCTCTCTGCTCAGCCCCTAACTGAGCTCGCCTGGCCTGGAGTCTGACAGTGGGGGAGGGGAGGGTGCTACCAGGTGGGTGCTCCGTAGTTACTTGTGGAATGAATGAAGGCTTGAATGAATGAGTGCGGGCATTCCCAGAGTGCCCGTGTGGGTGTGTCCGGACTCACAGGACCGTGGGACCAACGGGAGCCAGCAGAGACCCCGGACCCCGCGGGCAGGCCAGAGGCAGAGGCTGGCCCAGGTTTCGGGAGGCGGGTGGATGGGCACCCACCAACACAGGATGCAGATGCAGGTCCGGAGACGCAATCCGGGTGCCCTGAGCAGGGTTCCCAGGCTGACCGAAGCCTGGCCCACGCTCAGCTCGTCCTGCATGGCTGCCCGCAAGACCTGCGGGGTGGGCAAGGCGCTCTTGGCATCGGGGCCGCCGGCGGGGCCCTCCTCCTCGAGACCCTCTCCCTGAGGAGCTGGGGCTTCTGGTTGGTCTCCCGGGGGCCCCATGCAGGGCCAGGGAAGGGGTCTCAGAGCCCAGGCCCGAGGAGGGCCCGGCCCGCCTCACCTCGACGGTCAGCGAGTCCTCCGCCATCTTCTTCCGGTTGATGGCTGCCACCCTCTGCAGCTCCTGCAGGCCGCGGTCCAGCCTGCCTGTGATGATAAGCCACCGGGCCGACTCTGCCAGCCACCTGGAGTGGAGGCCAGGGAGGCTCACTGCCCATGGCGCCCGGCTTGGCCCGCCCCAGCCTCTGTTCCCCGGTCGCCTCTGCCCCGGGGGTGGGGGGACCCGGCTCAGGGCGGCTGAGGACGGCGGGCAGTGAAGGGTGGTGGCCTGTCGCAGCCGCGCCACTGTGGCAGGCCTCTTCCCCCGCCGGCAACCCTTCTGCCTCCTCTCTCTCCCCCGTCCCTCCCTGGGTTGGGGTGGGGTCTGGTGTTCCCATCATCCCTGGGCCGGCTGCTGGCGGCTGGGGAAGGAGGCCTCTGTTGTCCTCCTCTGGCCTCCTCCCGACCTCACGGCCCTTCCCTGCCTCACCCCGGAGCCTGGCCTGGTGGGCCTGGGTGCAGTCAAGACCCCCCTGGCCGCAGGACCACTGTCTCCGGAGCCGCCGGGGTCCCCCACAGTCCTGGCACACAGACCTCCATTCACCCATGGTCGCATCTTCCTTCCCTGGCAGCCACCCAGGGGCTCGGGCTAGGGGCGGGTCAGCAGCCCTCTTTTTTTTTCTTTTCTTTTTTGAGTCGGAGTCTCACTGTTGCCCAGGCTGGAGGGCCGTGGCACGCTCATGGCCACCGCAGCCTCGACCTGCTGGGCTCAGGCCATCCTTCAGCCCCAGCCTTCCAAGTGGCTGGAACTACAGGTGCACACTACCACGCCCGGCTACTTTTTGATTTATTGTAGAGACGAGGTCTCACCAAGTTACTCAGGTGGGTCTCCAACCCCTGGCTCAGCTAATCCTCTCCCTTTGGCCTCCCAAAGTGCTGAGATTATAGGCATGAGCCACCACACCTGGCCAACAGCTCCCTTGTCTGCACCGGCCAGCCAAATCCCAGCTCCCCTGCAGCCTTGTGTCTCGGTATCTCCACTGCCCCTGCCTCAGGCGTCCCGGGCCCCTGTGTCCCCCCACCCCGCAGCAGGACCCAGCCCCTGATGACACCCTCAGTGTCCCGCCCAGCCTGCTGAGCCCCAAGCAGTGCCCACCCCTCCGCACTGCCCCTACTCCCGGCTTTTGCTCCTCCGGGTCCCCCAGCCGGACGCGCTGTCCCTGTGAGCAGCGGCCAAGGTGGGGTCACCTGCACCACACCCACTGGGGCCCCGAGCTCCTTAGGGGCTTGCAGGGCGGGGGAGGAAAGGGGAACTCCAGGTGTAGAGTTGACCCTGGTGGCCCGCTGGACCTGGTGGGGGGACAGTGAGAGGGAGGGAGGGCTCGCAGCCACTCTGACTCTAATATCTGGTGGGCAGAGGGCTGCTCCCCGCGTGGGGGAGGAGGGAGGTTAGGAGACGTTTGGTCGGTGGTGCCGACACGCCAGTGACCGAGGTGTCACACGGGCAGCTGGAGACACGGGGCTGGGGGTGTGGGGAGAGGTAGGACTGCGGAGATTGGGGGTCTTTGGCACCTGGCGGGAGCTGGCGTGGTGGGTAGGGGCGAGGCTGCCTGAGGAGCAGTGTGGGCCGCGCCCATTGCACCACGGGCCACAAGCGATGGCAGCTGGGTCATCGTGGGTGATCTCAGCAGGGCAGTTTCGGGGGGAAGAGGGAGGACGCTGGGTGGAGTAGGTTGGAGGTGATGGGGAGGAAGAGGCAGGGCCCGGAGGCTGGGTGCTTGGTAGGTGCTCGGTAGTTACTTGTGGAATGAATGAAGGAATGAATAAATGAGTGTGGGATTCCCGGAATCTGCCTTGCTGGACTTTGCTCTCTGTTTCCATGCCCCCGGTCTGTTCGCCAAGCCCCAGCCTCACTTTGTGAGGCCGCAATGGGTGACATTCCCCGTGAGCTCCCCATGGGCAGAGACACCATCTGTCTCGCTCGCTTCTGTCCTCCCTGGTGTCAGCCAGTGCCGGGCGCTTGGTGGGTGCTCGGTAGTTACTTGTGGAATGAATGAAGGAATGAATGAATGAATGAGGGCGGGCATTCCCACAGCACCTCTCCGGGCATGTCTACCAGGAACGTGAGGCTCAGCTCCGCGGCCCTGCACCGCTCCGGAATCTGCATTGCTGGACTTTGCCCTCAGTGTCCACCCTCTTGGCGACAGGGTCAGCACGCCCTCTCGGAAGGCCGCTGTCAGGTGGTTGCTCCCCCACAGAGCCGCTGCGTGAGACGCGCCCGTCTTCTGCTCTGAGGAGTGACTGCCAAGTCCCTGTTACTCGACCCCAAGCCGGGGGCTGGAGAGAGCTGTGGAGCCAGCCTCCTTCCTCGTGCCTCCGCTGTGCTCCTTTCTGAGGGGCTGCCATGGTGGGGCACCCGCCACGTGCAGGGCCCGTGTGTGAGCGAGCCAGGCTCGGCCCTGCCCTCAAATGGCCTCCGTCCCTCCACCCAGTCCGTTTGTGCTTCATTCATGCAGTCCACCCATCCAGCAACTCATCCGTTCATCCGGTCTGTTGTCCGTCCATCCATCCATCCACCCGACTCCTTCGTTCAGTCCACCCATCCATCCAGTCCGCGCATCCACCAACTCATCCCTTCATCTGTCCCTCCAGTACGTCCGTCCACTCATCCACAAATCTGTCCATCCACTGACTCATCTAGTCTGTCCATTCGGCCTGTTGGTCCACCTCATCCATCCGTCCCTCCGTCCCTCCGCCCACCGTCCCCCCGTC